TCTCAAGGCGGACTAGCGAATTCAATGACAGTGAGCCACTGACATTGACATTGAGCCCCATCATCTGATTCCAAGTTGCGGACGCAACTTGTTAGCTGCCGCTCTTGTCAGCTAAGCGACTCGCTCCGCTACCAAATAGCTATCGGCAGCAAACTTTTTTCTGGCGCAGCAAGCGGAACTTAACCTCAGCAAACTTGCGCGGAAAAAGGAACTTAGTAAGTACCTATAAGCTTGCCATTCGCAAGTACCTGTAAGTCCCGGTATGTTCACTTATAGCTGCCAGTACTCCCCTACGAGCACCTATAAGATACAACAGCGCCTCAGTAGCAGGCAGGTCAAACAGCGCCAGTGCCGGCGTTGCGAAACAGATCACGCTACGTTCATCAAAGATCCAAGTGTGCTGGCGCAAGGGTAGCCTTCACGCCACGCTATGTTCGTCAGAGATGGAAACGTGCTGGCGCAACGGTAGCGTTCATGCCACGCTGCGTTCGTCAGAGATGCAAGCGTGATGACGCAATGGTAGCGCTGGTTCGTCAGAGATGCACACGTGCTGGCACAATGGTAACGTTCACGCTACGCTGCGTTCGTCAAAGATGTAAACGCGCTGGCGCAATGGTAACGTTCACGCCACTGCGTTCGTCAGAGATGTCATCGTCCTGGAACAATAGTAGCGTTCACGCCACGCTGCGATCGTCAGACATGCAAACGTGCTGGCACAATGGTAGCACTCACGCCACGCTGCGCTGGTCAGAGATGCACACGTGCTGGCACCACGGTAGCGTTCACGCCGGGCTGCGTTCGTCAGAGATGTAACCTGCTGGCGCCGCGGTAACGTTCACGCCACGCTGCGATCGTCATAGATGCACACATGCTGGCGCAAGTGCAACGTTCACGCCGCGCTCCGTTCGTCAGAGATGCAATGGTCCTGGAACAAGAGTAGCGTTCACGCCACGCTGCGTTCGTCAGATATGTAAACGTGCTGGAACAATGGTAGCGTTCACGCCACGCTGCGCTGCTCAGAGATGTACATGGTAGCGCTCACACCGCGCTGCGTTTTTCAGAGATGTAAACGTGCTGGCACCACCGTAGCGCTCAATCCGCGCTGGTGCTCGTCAGTGATGGAAACGTGCTGGCGCATTGGCAGCGTTCGCGCCGCGCTGCGTTCGTCAGAGATGTAAACATACCCACCCAGCCGCCCGCCCACTCACCCACCCCGCGCGCGGGCCCGCGGGCCCGTGGGCCCGTGGGCGCGCACGCATGGCGCGCCACGCGCGCACGGGCTCGCGCGCGCGCGCCTGTTTGCGCGTCCGTGCGCAGGGGCGCGATCAGGACTTGCTTCGGGAAGCTTGGCCCCAAACGTAGGCGACGCAAGGAATGCAGACAATGCGCGAAACAGAGAGGCTCCTGAAAGTGTCATGGATGCTGGCAATGCAGCCAGATTGCTGCACACTTGCAGTGTTTGAGCCTTCCCCCCAACTCGAGCTCGAATGGCCGCACAGGCGGTGATGATGCACGAAAGGCGCTGGACATGCAGACGATGCGAGGGCCCGGCGGCAGTGACAGTCAGTCGGCGAAGCCTGGAGCAGCGCCCCTTCGGGCCAGAGCGCGGCGAGGCCGGACTTACGTTGCTGGCGCAGCGCTACCAGCAACAGCCAGCGACAACCAACAACAACCGACAACAACCAGCAACAGCCGAACGACAACCAACCAGAACCAACGGCAACCAACAACAGCCAACAAGAGCCGACTCGCGCGCGCACTCGCACGCACGCACGCAGGCAAGCGCTCTACGAGCGCGCGCGCGCAGGCATGCAAGCACAGCCTGGGCCAGTTTCTTTCCACGGAAAGCGTGGCAAAACCAATCCTGTTTGCCGGATTTTGCTGTAAAAACCCTGCAGCTGCCCAGTTTTTGCAAAGCTGCAGCAGCACGCCGCGTGGAAGGCAGCCCCCAGCAATATCCCAAGCATCACCTGCGTCACCTGCATTACTGGGGCAAGAAGCCTGCAGACTCACAATCCCAAGGCTGCAGACCCGGAACCAGACCCAAAAAACAAGCCCAAAAACGCAAGTGGTGCTCTTCATTTTCCTTTTCACAAAGACCCCGAGCGGCATCCTTTGCCTGCCCAGTTCGGCGGCAGAGGGTGGGCGCGTGTGGGCGGGTGTGCGTTTAACATGCACTTGTGCCGGAGTGCGGTTTTTTCGGGTGCGCCTACCGTTTGGCAGGCAGGCGTGAGCAGGTGCGCAGGAGCAGGCGCGTACCATTTGGCAGGTGCTGAGCTGGTGCACTTGAGCAGGTGTGCTTGCCGTTTGGCAGTGTGCTTGAACGGGTGTGCTTACCATGTGGCAGGCGTCCTTACTGCTGAGCAGGTGCGCTTGGGCGGGTGCGTGCGAACTGGCAAGTGCTGAGCACTTGAGCGTGAGCGGGTGCCTCGGCGCGCTTTGGGCCGCTCCAACCAGACAGTTCCGCTTTTTTGTGCTGACCATTTGGCAGCTTTTGCAGCGAAACAACCAGGGGGTGTGCGCGTAATTCAGAGCGCGCGATGTTCGTAAAAAAACAAGGCCGGACACGCGGCGAAGAACGTCGATCGTGCTGAGATGACTGCGTCAAAGCAAGAGCGTGTCACGCGTGTCCAGTGATGTGTGTGAAGCGCGTTTCGCGCACGGCGTGCGGTCGTCTGCTGCGGCGTGTGACGGGGCATGGTGTGTCTCAAGGCTTCCGGGCACTGAATGGTATCGACACACGTGTTTGTGCAATGACAGGGACTGGCTTCAGCAGCATGAAGCTTGAGGCCACTCATGTTTCTGCCAAATGTACTGCAGCTTCAGCCTCGCCAAGACCACACATTTTCCAGTCTCCAGCCATTGTTTCAAGGCAGCGCCCCAATTGTGAAAGACAGCCCCCATCAGCATCGCCTGCGTCACCGCCGGGATCCTCTGCATGGCTTGTTGTGGTGATGCGGGTGGTGCTGGGGATGCTGGCGGGAGCTGCTTTCCACAAGATCTTGCAGTTAGGTTGCGCGCGGACCTCTTTCTTGCGCCGGGTTTGCAAAAAGGCGCTGCCTGCTTGGCTTCGAACATCTTCAGGAGCAAGAGTAGCGGAAACACAAGTCAGCGTCGCAGGGCGGCCAGCCGGATGCGCGCCAGCAACGTAAATCCGGGCGTGGCCAACTGGCCGAACGGCTGTGTCAGATCCTCCCCCTCTCGCAAAGCGTCTATTTGGCTGCCGCCCGACGGCGCTGACCAGGGCACGCAGAGGATACGGCTAGGAAGATTAAGCGATGAGCATCACCAGCGTCTCCTTCTGCGAGGTGTGTGCTGGGGCCTGTTTTTTGGATCGAGCTTGTAAAAATCGAGAAGGGCGGAGTGCCGTGCAAGAGCAAGGGCCCAATAGAAAGTTTCCATCTTTGCGCAAGCCTCCAGAGAAACTTTGGAGTTGCGTGCGGGCCCTCCGAGTACTAAATTTAGTACAGACAGCATTGGTTTTTTGGTATAGTTTGGAATTGGCAATACTTGGTTGAATATTGCCAGTGCGAAATTTAGTATCCATTGTACTATTGTTAATATTTAATATTGCCAATAATGGCTATCATCTTGCCAACGCTAAAACTAGCAGTTTTAAGATACCTTCCAAAAAAATCCTGGAAGGGTTTTTATCCTCGAAAAGGGGGAGCGCGCTGCAAGAGCAAACAAACTAACGCATACTAATTCCTCAAGGAAAACTCTCAAAAAGGAACCATTTTGGCGCAAGCCTGCGTATGGCCAGGCGCGCGCGAAGATTGAAACTTTGGAGTTGCACGCGAGCGGAAAAGAAAAGTCCTGCGAGTACTTTTTGAATAGCCAGCCAGCACTAAAGCGAGTACTTGACTTAAACTGCCAGAACTATGTTTACAACTGCCAGTACTAAATTTAGTATTGCCAGTACGGAATTGAGTTTTGCCAGTTCTAAATTTAGTTTGGAAGGTATTAAATTTCATATTGCCAGCACTAGATGCAGCGTTGCCACCATTGAACTTGGAAGTGCAAATGCTAGATTGACGAAGCAAAGCGTGACTTACGCCGCGACCGGAGAGTTACTATTTTTGCGCGGGACAAGACATTTCTGCAGAGGGTTGGTTTTGGATTCGCTCCACAATTTGTGCATCCCAATGGATCACTTTTTTTCCGCCGGGAGACTCGCGATACTAAAGTAGTCTACTTGGAATCCAAGCAAGAGGGATTTTTTCCACAAACTGTTCTGTTTTTGCGCCGACTCCCTTTCCGAAATCGTTTCCAGACCTTCGAGCTTTCTTTTTCGGAGGATCTTCCTATTTAGAAAAACTTGCTACGCTACCACCTTTGTGAACCGATGCCACGCGCAAGGATCCCTCACTACGCAACACGCGGCGCAATAGTCAGCAAGATGTTTTTCCCTGCGCAGGCATTAGAATGAGCACTAGGCACACATGGAAGCCCTTGAGCCAAAATGGTGGCAACAAGGCAAGATAGATTTACCCGACCCGCCAGACCTGTGACAGACCGCGTGAACGCATATGACATGAGCAGACCGTGGGTTGGTGTTGCTTTGCGTTTTGCGCAGCCAGCAGGTGTATGTAGTTGGCTGCACTTTGAAGGATTCTGCGGCGGACTCCTCCCCGCCCGGTTGGTTGTTGAATTGTATCCATGTCAGCTGTAGTTCGGCCCCTCAACCAAAGCAGGCGAAGTAAGGCCAGCTGGCCAAGGCAGCAGGCAGACACGCAGGCAGGCGTGCAGCCGGGAGGGTGTGTGGTCGCACGGGTTTCGTCACATTTGTGGCTCGCCGGGTGCTGAAGTAGAGCGTGTAAGCGGCGTGGCGGCCACTGGAGGCCACACGGGGCTTGTCAGGCGTCGGGGGTTTCCAAGGACGAATTGGATAGGTTGAGCAAGCGCGCCGCGGGTGAATTTCACAAAAAAGCATGTTTGCGCCCATCCAAGCTACCTCGTGGATAAGATTGTCGAATGACTTCTCTTCCCACGCGCAATAGGTACCTTGCGGCCTACACACAAGCCAACCAGCTTGCAGATATCTCCGTGCCAAAGTCCCAGCAATTCAAGCGCAGCTGTGCATCAGGCCTTGTCCGGATGTGAACGTGAGGTCGGCAGACCCATTTGTGGCCTTTCCCATGGCGGCTTGGCACCATTCATGGCAAACCTGTGGCTGACTGGCTGACTGACTAACTGAGTGACTGACCTGACCTGCGACTGCTAGGCCAATTTGATCATATCCAAGGGTGTCAAGGCAGGACTGCTCAAAGACAAACCCAGCAGTGAGGTCGGGGGTGTGTGAAGCGCTTCAGCCCAAGGTTGTCCGAGAGAGTGACGAGGCGCTGAAGAAGAGGCGCCGAAGGGGAATTCTCCTTGGCTGCGCAGGGCATAACCTCAAGATGTGACTTCTTGAAACTTTTGTTCTGTCGGCCTGTGGCTTGGCCCGGTTTTAGACAGCGCTTAGTACCGTCTACTGTCATGGCTGCGCGGCATCACTGTTTGGTTTTCTTTTGAGCTCAACGCAAGGTCTCATGCGCAAGTTCTGACGCTGTCAGTGCGCCCCGTTGCACTGAAGGGCACGTGCCATGGTCAAACCGTTTACCAGTCATCACTTTTGTGGATGTTAGACTCCAGTCGCAAGGTCAGAAGCCAGACCACGGAGGACAACCGCTGCAGTCTTTTTTTCATAGCAGGATGGCTTCATGGTGTCGCGATCGCCTGGAGGAAGTGCTTGCCTCCTTGGACTCCGTTTCAGGCAAGTTGTGTCAACACTGTCCACGTCGCGCCCATGTCTTGCAAGCGCTGCGCGCGTGCCGCATCATTTTTGGGCGCGGAGGTGCAAGAAGCAAACTGTGACAGAGGAGACGCATTTGGCATCCGACCGGGCTGCAGCTTGTGCGCCTGGCTGCAAAACGGCAATGAATAGGTCGCAGGTGCTGCGAGCTTTACAAAAAAGGGCATCCGTGTGCTATTACCACTGAGATCACAGCCGCGTGAGATCAGACCCTTGTGCAATGTTGCGAAGACGGCCACAGTGCCGATGGCAGACACAGTCTCTGGCTCGAGTTACCCAAAGGGCGTCCCAGCGTTTGTGTAGGGCTACACAGAAAGGCGCCAAATGATGTCTTTTAGCCAGGAACAGTGGTTGGAGAACGGCTTGTAGAATCCCCTTGAGGTGGGTCAGGAGAAGCAAGTCAGATCACATGGCTTGTGTCGATTGTGCGTGGGATACGTACATTCGTTGTTCCAGGCAGTACATTCACGTGTGCAGTTTCGAGGCGATGAGTTACAGCAGAGGCGTTCTGATCTACAACTTCAACGAGGCTGCAGTTTTGATTTGCGCCACAGGCCAAACTCTCACTTCACCTAGGTGTTGCTCGACAACTATGCTATGTGTATTGATTTCAACAAGTTCGGAATGGTTCCTCTCCTCAGGACCGTTATGGAGAAGATCTTCAACACGCTCCAAGGTCTTCGCCTGGAGTCGTTTGTGTTTGTCAAAAGGTGCGGAGCACGCGTGTGGACGGTGTTGGCAACAAGCTATATCGACGAAACTAGCCATAGTCGGAAGGCCTAGGGGCCTACCTTTCGACAGCCAGATTGAGTTGAGAAGGGTTGCTTGGGGGGCGGCGCGCGTTGGCTGCAGGACGGCAGGCCCCAACATCAGCGTGTCTCACACCGTGCACAATTGGCGGCAAGCTTAAATGGGTGCCTCCTCCACACGTAAGACCTGCCACGCTTGGTCGGGGTGGCCGTTTTACTTGCGTACCACCTTCAGTCAAGGTAGGGTGGCCCACGAAATGTTCAATTGATGGACAGCACAAGGAGCTGTGAAGTGGTCCTGTTGTTGGTGATATTCCCGGGGCCTAGAATAAATCCGAAGCGCAGGAGATGTTCGCAACCTGGCACCAGTGCCCCCGTCAAAGGCCCTTTAACCGAAGGAGACCGGCCATTGGCCGCTGGCCGCGACACATAGCTTCTCTTTCTCTGAGGAAGACGCCAGCAAACGAGAAGGCCAGGCGGGGCAGGCAAAGGGAGTTGTCAATGTTGTAAAGTTGCGTGGCGCCCGCACCTCTTGACGGGGTTTGACTTGGACGCTAAAGGGGTCGCGGGGTGTGACGCACGGACGTCACACTCTGACAAACAAAATTCCGGTCTGACATTGGCATTGGCTTGGAGTTTGCGAACCGGATCTCCTGGCCAAGGCGCTTAAAGCCAAAAACGAAAGCTGGCTCCCTGGAGCTAAGCTGAAGTTCGGTCAGTTCTTGATTTTTCAGGTCCGGGTCTGAAGGCACCGGGGGCAATTACTTGTTGCGATAAGATACTCATTGTGATAGCTGGACCTGTTTCTGGCAAGAACCTGATGTCTGATGGATTCAATTCCGCTGGAAGTTCCTGGTGTATGGGTTGTGAAGCGCAACGAGCTCTTCTACTATGGCGAGTGTAAACTTTAATAGTAGAAGAAGGGCCTTGAGCAAAACAGACACAAATTTATTTTAACCTTTGGCATCGCAAAAGAATCTCAAAGCTCTTTACCGTAGCCATATCCAACATGTACCGTAGCCATTGAGAAACGCTTAACGCTTTGATTTCGGCGCGAGAAATGGCAAGCGAAAGTTGGCATCTAATTGTGCTTGAAACAGGGCAAGGACTAACGTGGCCTTGTGAAACTACCGACCCACTCGCTGCAGGAAAGGTGTTCTTGCAGGCGATGAGGTCCATGGCGAACTCATCTCCCGCGGATGTCGATTAATCTGTTATATCGCTGTGCCATAGGTGGTTCCGAATTGGTAGTTGGTCGTCGCTTGAGGAGGCGGGTCCAGTATGTCGGTCTTCGGCGCCACTGCTGTTGGTGGTAATACTTCTTGCTGTGACAACTTGTTTTCTGTCGTTCTTCCATCCGCTGTAGTCGTCGCCTTGTTGTAGTAAGGCTTGCTGTGAGAGTACCGTTCCTTCATTCGCTGATTGTTGCTCCTCTTGTGCTTTTGATGTACACAATGAGGGGAGCATGCCAGTCACTGTCGGTTCCTGCATTCTTGTGCATCTCGTTCGTGATACGCTGGAAGCGTTCGACGGAAGACACCTGATAGTCGCTGATGGCAACGCTCGTGTCGTCTTCAAATGCCCTCTTGTGTTCCTCACCAATTGTCCCCTTCGTGCGTCCGATATTCTTGCTGGTCATTGGCCTTGCCCCAGCTGAAAGCATAGTTCACCATGCAATGAGGAACAGTCCTGTCGTAACTTGATCCTTTCTTGGTGCGCAGGACCAACCTGTCCGCCTTTCCCATCAAGCTAAACTGGTTTGATCACGACATCAATCCTGTTCTGGTCAGGAGTTCCAACTTTCAATCCTGTGAGCGCGCAGCACTGGCTGAATCTCGCGCTGCCTGCCAAGATCTCTAGAACATGAGTGTTCCTTTGCTGACACAAGATCAATGTGCTTGTTCTGGAATGGAAGAAAGTCTTCCACAAACATTCGCGCATGGATGAGAAGCTGATTCCTTGTTCTTTCTGCAAGGCTTCATTCTCACCAGGCAACAAGGAGAAGAATCCCTAACCTTAGTATGTTGACCTTGACGGGCCGAGTTCCAAAACCAAGACCTAGCGTGGCTCCCTCAAGGGAAATGGCGTTTCGTTTTAGGCAAAAATGCCTCCTTTGCTTCCGTCGGTCTCGCCAATAGTATCTCTTAGCTTGAGGAGGCTTGGAGCTCATTCTGGGGTATTGCGCAAGATCTTTTCTGATGTCTTCCGGCAGACGGACTTCTTGGAAAGCCTGTGCTGACAGCTTCCTGTTCTGAATCGCTCACAATTCCTCGTCTGTTTTTTGATCGTGAGCTGCGTCGGAGTCGCAAGCTCTAATTGAACGAGATCTGCCGGTCGTCTTCCGCGAGCAACCTCCAATGGTGTTACGCCCTGGTAGGTGACGGTCTGACAGTCTGATTTCTGACTGCTGCAGCAGCCTTGGCAAGTTGTCTGCGAGTGACCTTCTTGAGCGAGCCAGGCGCTGTTCCTGCCCTAATAATTCAGCATGGTTTTGAGGTGCTCCTTCAAGAGTCGTGCTGCTGCCCAACAAGATTGTTGCGACGCCAAGGGTTCTCCGCCATGAAGGCCTGATCTCCGACGCCTCTTTTGGGCTGCAAGCGGCACTGGTCGAAGTAGTTCCTGATGGCGGTGATGTTCTCTACTTCTTATGTCGTGTTCGCCGCCTCTGCAGTCGCAATGATATATTCTCCGGTTCGAGGGGGCTGGCAGTGATCAGTGAAAGTCATGTCGCCAAATGTGCTTCTCGACGATGCCTGTTTTGCTGCTTGGCAGACTTCACACTCATTGCGAACCGTGCTTGTTTAAGTGTTGCGTCGGGCTCGAAACCGAACTTGGTCGGTACTCATGTGACGATGCTGGAGGCGAAGCCTAAGGCAAGTGGAAGTGTTGGCTCATCAACTGATGTTGCAGGGGGATCTGGCTTAGTGGTCGACCGGCCCTTCTTGTCGATCATCCTGCCTGCTGACCCTGATGAGCTTGCTTCCTCATCCTTCTGCGTTCGCGAAGACGGTCTTACCTGTCCACAGGTTCACCAATGCTCGGGTGGCCTGTGAAGAAAGTCTCCAATGTCTTCAAGCGTGTCTGGACCTCCGCCTTTTGTTGCGTCAATCAGGTGTGTGGGACGTTCACATCTGATCTTATCTGGATTAATTGGACACTCCTTCACTCCTGTTGAGCGCGAGTGAGTTCTTTCTTTGTTTGCTCGGCAAATATTGAATGATCCTTCTTTGCTGATGATGACTTGGAAGCGCATACAACTTCTGATGTGGCATGTTCTGCAGAAGAAACTTGATGCTTTCGTCGCCGTCACAAACGTGATGACTGAGGCCTTGCACAGCGATCTCTCCATGATTCTTTAGCTTTGTCTAGAGACTTACAACGCAAGTTGCGACGTCGACATGTTATTTTAAAACCAGAGTAAGTTCGGGAGTTTCTAATCCAACTTACGGCAAGTTCTATAGCAACTTAGGGAGGTCGGACTAGATCTTTGAGTCACCTCCAGGAGACTTTTAAAGTCTTATCGCTAAGTTCTAGAGCTACTCAGGGAACTTGGAACTTTTCTGAATACCTTACAGCAAATTCTATAGCAACTTAGGGGAGGTTAGACTAGATCTTGGTGCAACCTCCAGGGGGCTTAAAAAGGCTCATCGCTAAGTTCCAAAGTTACTGAGTGGGCTTAGGGCAACTTAGCTGTTTTTCGGGTTTCGAGTGTGTTTGGAGCAGCTAGCGTCCTTTTGTGCCAGCTGAGTCTATCAACTGATAACTTCGACGCTACAAGAGCTGGTGACTCAAGATTAAGTATTGCCAATGCCAAACTAAGTTCTGAAAGCCTAGGATTAAGTATTGGCAATACTTGTTTCAGCCTTGCCCATACTTGACTTAGTTTTGGCCTAGCGTTTTGGCAATAATAGATTAAGTGCTGGCTAAGCAATGGGAATGTAGAACTAATTCTTGGCAATACTAAATTTGTATTGCCAGTTTTCCGAAATTGTCGAAGAGTACTCACTCCCTCGCACAGACAACGCAGGTGCCACGAAAGGTTGCCCAAAAGTTCTTCGCGTTCGACTGGGAGTCTGGGGGTGGACTGGTCGCAAAAATTTCACTCCCGCCCCGGCCGCCCACCAACTTTGCTTCTCTCTCCGGTTTGATTGCAGATTTTGCCTCGTTTGCTAGCTGCCGCCGGTCTTGCGTGCATGGATTGCTTGCCGCAGATGTTGCTTGGATTGCGTGCCGCAGATGCCGCCTGGATTGCTTGCAAACGATGTTGCCTGGATTGCTTGATGCAGGTTTTGCCTGGATTGGTCGCCGGAGTTTGTGAAACACGAAAGGTAGGACGCCGCCAAGAGGGCAATCTGCGACAAGCAGCCCAGGCGAAACCTGCAGCAATCAATCCAGGCAACGCCGTTTGCCAGCAATCCAGGCAACATTTGCGGCAAGCGCTCCAGGCATCATCTGCGGCAAGCGCTCCAGGCAACATCTGCGGCAAGCAACCCAGGCAAAATCTGCATCGGCAACATCTGTGGCAAGCAATCCTGGCAACCTTTGTGCAAGAATCTGCATCAAGAAATCTGGCTTGCGGCGAGCAATCCAAGCAAAATCTGCATCTGGCAATCCAAGCAAAACCTGCGGCAAACAACCCAGGCAAAATCTGCATCAAGCAATCCAGGCAAATCCTCATCAAGCCACCCAGGCAAAATTCGCATCAAGGAACCCAGGTGTCTTTGTTTGCACTTTTCTTGTCTTATCTAGCTTCATCTCTGCTTCTGCGATTACATTTGTCAATTGTCAACGCTGTTTACTCCTGATGACCTTACCACGCTAAATGATGCACGCGAATCAAGACTATTCATGAGGCGCAGCATCATTCCGGCAGACACCAAGTTCACTTTTGCGAGCGGGAAATCAGCTAAGGCCAGCTGGACCTTACGCACGGTGTCTCACGGCTAGCACCAACATCGACATTCTTGAGCAAGGCGCCGGATACTCCTCAGTAAAGGTCATGAGCAACTTGCACATGGCCATTAAGCACACTGCTCAGTGTGACAAGATCACACGCGAAGCCATTGGCATGCACAGACAACCATTTCCAGCGTGAGGTATGTCCTCTCGTCGATCTTGCAGGCGTGTCATAGTCTATCGCACATGGCGGCAGCATCGCCGGAAATTTTGACTGACCTCTTGTCCACAGCATCGCTGCGATTTTTGCCTTCTTTTCCACAGAATCGCCGTAAATGGTGCCTCACTTCTTATCCCTTACTTCTTGTTCACGGCCTCGCCGCACATCTTGCCTTACTTCTTGTCAACATCATCACCGCAAACTTTGCGTGACTTCTTGTCCGCAGCATTGCCGCCAATGTGGACCGACTTCTTGTCCAGAGCATCGCCGCAAATTTGGACCGACTTCTTGTCCACAGCATCGCGGCGCATTTTGCCTTATTTCTTCTCCCCGGCATGGCCGCGCAACTTTGGCTGACTTCTTGTCCACAGCATCGCCGCGATGTTTGCAACACTTCTTGTCCACAGCCTCGCCGCAAGTGTTGCCTTAGTTCTTGTCCACAGCGTCGCCGCACATGTTGCCTTTCTTCTTGTTCAAAGCATCGCCGCAAACTTTGCCTTACTTCTTGTTCACAGCATCGCCACAAACGTTTCCTTACTTCTTGTCCACAGCGTCGCCACGAATTTTG